TCACTGGTGCACCCCCCACCCCACGAAGGCAGCCCGCGACCCAATGCCATTCCGTGTCAGTCAATAATCGTTCCATATCTTTTAATATCATTCATCACTCCACATGATTCCATTTCATTCACTATCCTTCCAAATTCTTCCATATTTTTTCATGGAGTGTTCTACGACTTAACGCGCAATTTCTTGCATTTTCTAGTTTGTAATTCACTCACTACATTTGCAATGCATCTTTCAGGGATAGCGCTCACTACAGTGGACACTTTATCATGTTATCAGGGTACATGTTATAATTATTGGTGCATGCAATGGTTACTTTTTATTTATTTTTTTTCTAAGCGTTTAAGTGTTGATGTTCAAACTGTGCCTTGTTTGACAGTAGTTGACAAGAATATAAAACCTCAGTTTGATAACAACGGCTTTATTGGATCGGGCTCGACACCTTACTCCACCCCGAACCATCAATTTTCGTCAGACATTTAGGCCAGCTGTGAAAGAACATCAGCGCTTGAATTTTGGGATGAATTAGAAATAATTCTTACTTGTGTCGTGGGCGAGCTGGAGCCAATTTCAGGATGTCAATCGCAGGGCACACAAAGCTAAACAAGCCTTGCCGCTCACGATCAAGCATGAGGGCAATTGAAATCCTCATCGAAACCCCCAAAGCTTTTTTTGGGGCGGTGGGGGTGCCGCTCTTTCCGAATATTTGTTATTCTTTTCCAAAGTGGGTCCAACGACTCCTTGAAAGAGACCCACGTCGTATTTCCCCCATTTTTACTTAAGTCCATGCAATTTCTCGCACCCGAAGCTGAATTTCACCAGCGTTTCCTCATTGTTCAGCAAAAGCCGTCCATGCAGACCCTTTGTTCCCTCTCTTTTTCCATTCGGATCGGGTAATGTTCCGAAAAGCTTCTTCTTTTTTTTTTTCTGTGTGTGTGTGTGATGGAAAAATGGCCCTTGTCAGCCGCCCCGCATTAAGAGACACCCTGTTCTGGATGGAAAGCAAACTGATCTTAATGATCGCGGTGATTATCGAAATGATCCAGTGGAAGAGGATAATGAGGCTATTTGCTTTGGATCAAGGCCGTCTGCAAATGAATAGCGGCAGGCGAGGGAGGCGACCTCGGGAAGAAGATAACACCGGCCGCCGTCTTTGCGCCCATGCCATTGACGCCGATGCTTTTTGTCCCCCCCCCCCCCCCTCTCCACCCCCGCCTGCAAACGTTCCCACCGGCGGCGTGAAATCGCTCCCCCCGTCTCGCATCTCGAGGTCCGCCCTTTCGCGGGGATGCCGCGTTTTCTGCTCTATTAAAATAGCGACGCATGCGATCCGATGCGAAAGGTCAGAGTGTGGCCTCGGGCTCGTCGCATCTCGTGGCGGCGGAAGTTAGCGCAGATGCACCCGGAGGTGGGCTGACCCACGTCGACTGTCTGGAAGAATTGCCACCGTTGCTTTTTTTTTTTTTTCTCTTACACTTCTCCTGTGGTGGTGGAAAAACTCAGCCGTAGCTCATTTGTTCCTTCTCTGCCCACTTCTCTTGATTCCTCATGTTGTTGTTAGCTTCAGCCGTCATGAGTCCATCAAGCCTTACAATGGCTTCATGATGAGCTAGTTTGCAAAAAAATACACACAAAAAAAAACAGTTTTAGTACTTTCCAGGAAACAAAAAAAAAGTTCAAAAACAAAGTCGTATTTTTCCTCATCAAAAATGCTTCTCAAATAACTTATTTTTGGATTTTTTTGGAAGTACACAATTGTATATATTCAAAAATAGTTTTACAGTATATTTTCGAGGGCATATTTTTTTTCTAGAAATGAACACATATCTTCAGAACACTGAAAAGTTTTTGTTGGATTTACTCAATTTTATGTCGTCAAGTGGATCCATATTATATATATAATGATTTTATTTTATTTTTTTAATTTGAACTATATCTTAAATTTATCTGGATCAAGATGAATTTATTTTGGGCAGCCACTTGACAAATGAAAATTGAGTAAATTCAACACACATTTTTTTTTCCAGTGAAGACATGTAAAAAAAATTGCCTTTTTGCTTTGCAACTAATTTGTACAAAAAAAGAATCAAGAGAAATGTAATTAACAAAAATAAAGACGTATTTTTTCAAGAAAAAAAAATCCTTTGGGGTGTTTTTTTCTTAGAAAAGAATTTTGGAAGATTGCAATTCAATTTATTCCAAGAATAAAATTGTATATTTTCGTGAAGAAAACATTTTTTAAAGAACAGTTCAACTCTTCAAGAAAAAAAAAAAAAAAAAAACAACTCCCGAGGTTTATTTCTCGCTCCAGAAAAACATCTCCTTAGCTCATTTGCTCCTCCGTTTCTTACGTTTGCTGTTAACTCGGGTTGCTTCTGTGCCCTCCTTTCCCTCCTTTCCTCGTCTTGTCATGCCGTTGTGTCCTTTAATCCATCATTCCTTCCCACTACATTAAAAGCGCACCTTGCTCGCTTTTTTTTTTTTTTTTTTTGGGTCACAAAATAGAAACCATTTTTCCACCTCGCACTTTTCCCTCCCCGCACCCTCCACTGTCATTATGACCTCTCTCCCTGCTTTCCTCATCTGCTGAGGCCACAGGAGAGCTATTGTCCAAAGGTACAGACTGAAGCAGTTACCGGCGAGAGGGAGGAGGAGGGGGCGGGTGGTCAGAAGACTGATTTTTCTTATTAAAAGCTCAAAAGTTTAAGGGAGGGAAAGAAACAAGGGGCCTTCGCTCAGCGGGAGGCGGCCGATTTCTAAGCGTTAAATTGCAGAGAGGGCGGGAGCGGCCGTCCCCGCGCGCATCTATTACGAGTTATTACTGTCTCTTTACTCTTGTTTTTCCTCTCGTCCTCACTCCCACCGGGCTTGTCCTTTTCTCTCAGCTGCTGGTCATCCTCGGCGCAGACGCAAGCACCCGATTTAAAAGCCAGAACACGAGGCGTCTACGTACAATACTGTGTGGGAAGCTACGGTTTTCGCCTCACGTTTTTCGCTCGCCCACACTGCGTCGGCGCTGGTACCCGGCACACTAATCTGCACGGCGACACCCAGCAGGTCGCAGCTTTGGGCCGGGCAGTGCCACCGGGGAGATGGGTAAATATCAGAGAAGGTCAGCGCGAGGAGGGGTGCGTGGAGGATGAGGAGGGGGGAAAGCCAAATGAGGGATGATGAAGGGGCGGGCGTTGAGATGAGCACCTGGCAACTTGTTTTTGAAACCACATCAAACCATCCAATTCCCAGAAATGGGTTGGCGAAATTACTTTGAGAACAAATTTTTGTGACTTACTGTAGTTGGTTGTCGTCAGTCAGGTGGTTGGATAATCTGGTTAGCCAGTCAGTTAGTTGACTGACTCATCGCTTTGTCAGTGGGTTGTTTTAATTGATTGCTGGTCCATTTGTCTATCAGTTACTTGGCTAATAGGTTGGTTGCTTTGTTGTTTTGTTTGTTTTTGGTTGGTTAACCACTCAGTTGGCTGGTCAGTTGGTGGTTAGTTTCATTAATTTTTAATTGATTAATTTATTTGTTCAGTTCATTGGGACAGTGCACGTTAATCAGCACAAGAATAAGCAGTTTAAATGTGCGGGACTTAGCATAAATGCTAGTTGCTGTTGGTTACTTGGCTAATCTGTTGGCTGGGTAGTTCATCATTCGATGGTCACGTTTGATTAATTAGTTGTTTTTTTTTTGTTTTGTTTTCGATTGGTTTATTGGTTGGTCACTCAATTAGTTGGCTAATTGACACTTTGGTTGCTTTGATGGTGAATTGGCCAGTTGACTAATTTGTTGTTTGGTTGTTGGCTGGTCAATTAGTTAGTTATTGGTTGGCTGGCCGGTCAGATGGTGAAGTAGTTGGTTAGTTAATAGGTTGCCAGTTGTTTGCCCAGTTATTTTGCCAATTGGTCGGTTTGTTGGGTGTTTAGCTGGTAAGTTTGTTGGCTACTTGGTGACTTGTTTTATCCGTGAGCTGGTTTTAGCAGTTAGCTGGCTAGTTGGTTACTTGGTCAATTGATTGGTTGGTTGCTGCATGTAACTCATGAGTTGTCTTGCCATTTTGCCATTTAGAATCATTGTTGGTTAGTTAGACAGTGGCTTGGTGGCTTGTTTAGTTGGTTAAATGGCTAATTAGTTGGTTGGTCAATTTTAATTGTCTGGTGCAAATCATAATAAAACGCACGTTTCTTCCTTTTGTCGCTTCTTTTTTTCCAATTAACAATTGAATGTCCGATGCATACAGTTGTCCCGCATTTCTTCATAAGATGACGGGTCAAGATTGTTTGTCCTCCATCTCAACCCCTGATTGATTAATTATTGATTGAGAGCTGACTTCGCTCCGCATAGCACACTTCTATGAGCAATTTGTGTGGATGTTGGTAGCATCCATCAAATAAAGGGGACAGAGGTTGGCAGGGATGAAAGCAATCCTCCGAAAGCCGTAGCCCTGCCACCGCAGTCTTCCACAATCCAAAAAGAACAAGTGACACACACACACACACACACACACACCCCGGCACACGCGCAGACGGCGGTGGCAAGCTCAGTCGGAGCGAGCCTCAGCAGTCACGTCTCGGCTGTTTACGCTCTTTAAGCCCCCAGAGGGCCGGAGCAGGCTTTACTGTCAAAAAATCAAGAGCTAAAGTTCCAGATTGTGATTTATTTCATTAGGCAAATGAGATGTGCGAGGCCCGCGGCACCGCCGACTGCCTACCACACGCACGCCCACGCGGACACACAATGAGTGTTTTTCGTAGCGTGCACGTGTTGAATATGGCCGCATTAACGGCCCCGCGACATATGTCTCACGTCCGACTCAATCAAGCGTCCAATCGCAGCGGAGTGACGAGCCGCTTGTGGTGACAGCTGTCGCCGCGGCGGTGCCGCACGCCGCCGCCGCCTCCTCCGTCTCCATCAATCTACCTGACCGTCCACGTTACGGCACGCTGAGCTGTAAACCAACAATGGTGACATTTTCTCTTTTCTCTTCCCCGCGTCTGCCTTTTAGGTTGGTATCCAGAGAGGGCATAAGCTGAGCCCGCCCATCCCCTTCCGCCGCTTCGCTGCCACCGACCGCCATCCATCATGGCTCTCGCAGTCTGGATTGCGTTGACCTGTGCCGTGGCTCTAAGCTACGTCGCGCCGTCCTCTCAAGGTACATCGGGAAGATTATGACCGGTTCAATGCCGAAGCAACCATATGATGAGGCATACATCAACACGTGTGTTCATACTTATATAGTGTGTGGTGTACTGTTGGATGATCAAAACCGAGCACCACACTTAACCAACTCTCCTCCACCAAACGAGATATCTGTAGTAGTGCCAAGACTGACCCTGTGACAGGCAAAATAGAGTGAAGTGAGAAAAAGTAGAAGAAGAAGAATTTCAGAAAGCTAGATGAAGCGTTAGCTTATTTAGCAACCAGTTTGTGGTTGCTAACTCTTCTCATTGTCGTTTTTATTGTGGTAAGGCACTTGAGGCAAGAAGTGGGGTGCCTCCGATTTGGCTGTTCTTCACTTTCAACTCTTCACTTCTCTGCCCTGACCATTATCGGAATAGATCGGGACGGAAAAAAAAAATTACACTTGATCCTGGATAATCTTTTTTTTAAAGTTTGTCCTTTCGTGATTGTTTAACTTTACAACAGAGCAAAAAATCAACAAAATTGACCGATTTTTTTGCCGATTTTGTGACAATTTTGTTCTGTAAATTTCCCCAGTGTGGGACAAATAAAGGATATCTTATGTCACGTATGTCAATCTTAACATGTAATGTGCTTTCTGAAAAAGTCCCATTTTTGCTTGTCGTAAAGGAGCTAATATAGAATGTCGATTAAGTCGGCTAATCTTAGCGGTCCTAAATTGGTCGTAATTTGTAATGTGTCATAAAATAAAGAAATCAGCCTATTTTTGTTGATTTTTTTTTAATGTTATAAATCGGCCGACTAATTAAGCGGTCGGGCCCAAATAAAACCAAAAGTAATTTGAAATAAATAAAAAGAAATAGAAGAAAATAATGAATCGTAATTTACGCTTTTCAAAAGCGAGCCGGCTAGCCAAGCCTGTAGTGGAGGCTGTGCTACGTTTTGGCTGTGTTCCGCCATGTTTGTGAGGCTTCCAAAAATGTGTCACTTGAACATACTGAATGAGGAGCATGTTTGTTTGTTTTTTTTCTCCCCCCCCCCATGAATGGAACGGGCATATTCCAAAGATGACAATGCCAGGATTCATCAGGCTCAAATTATGAAAGAAAGCCATTTTTTTTTTTCCAGTCCAGACTTTAACCACATTAGGATGCTTTTGGGTTTGGTCCAACACGCCCTGACATCCATCAGCTATTTGGCCCAAAATGAATGCAAATCTTGATTAAAATGAATATAGTGACACGCCAAGGCAAATGAATGCTTTAATCAAGGGGAACAATGAGTGAATGAAATACGTTTTTTTTTTCCTTACTCCCCTCCTGCCAGACAGCCTACTGTACAATCAATACTACCCATGTTCTTTGTTTATTTATAAACTACAAACCGCATAATACGGTGCGTTCGGATGAGGGTTTCTGCAAATGAGCATGTAATATTTACATGTGAGCCGCGCCGCCGTGTAGCTTGTAAGCGTATCGACTTGCTGACCGGGCTGGAAAGGCGCTGCACTTGATTAAGCAAAAGTGTCTCGGTGAGCCGAGGTGCAGGCTCGTGGTGGGGGAGCCTATGTGTGAATGTCAAAAACGTTTGCTGATGAGTCGAAGCGTAGCCACGGTATAAGAGGGGAATCCGTGCGTGTAATGCTACCATATGTGCGGCTCCTTGCGTGCTGTGGATCTGAATGTCCTTTCATTTCATGATTGCATGTATGCCCAAGAGCGTTTTTCCTTACATTATTTTGATTACTGGATATAGGTGTGCCTTTTCAACGATTTTTGACCTGACCGGAATCCCTTCTTTCCCCCATTAATCCACATTTTACACGCAAAATAAAACAGTCAAAGTAATGAAGGAATTTCACAAATTCATTTTGATTGACCAATTTTCAACCAATTTAAACCGTTGCAAAATATTTGGCTCATTGTTTGAATGAATTTTTAAAAAAGTGATTCCAACCATTCCTTCCATAGATTCAGCACATTAAATTTTTTACCTGGAATTCCCAACTTATGTTTACGTTACATTGAACAAATTCAGTTTTTCAACCAATTCCAACCGATTCCAACGTCAGTTCAATTCATTCAGAGCATCCTCAGAACTATTTTTTTCTCTTCCCGCATAATTCCAAATTTTGGACAGGAAACACATCTCATTCAAATGAATGGAGAAGTATTCAATCACCTCAAACTCAACATTTCTCAATTTATATATATATAATTGTACTGTCAACCTGCTTGGAGAAAAAAAAATCTACTTTTGTAAGAATTGCAATTAAATATTTCCAAACTAATTAATACATTTTACCAAGCTCACATTTCTCAACATGTCAACATTTTTTAATTACTGGAAAAATGCAACAAATACACACTCTCCAATAATTCAGCTTTTTTTTTTTTTTTAATACATTTTTAGTTTGACATTCTACATTCCACAGCCTCCATGCATGTCCGAGACAAACTGCAATTTCGAAAGATATTTCCCGCGTGTTTATGTGATGCGTTTTCACGCCTGGCAGCAGGTGACCTGGTTTAGGCGGCTTGATGCTGGAGGGTGTAGAGGAAGAGTAGTAGGGACTGCTGGGTGTCCTGCTAGTGGCCTCTCACATGTATATATAAATACATATACATGTAAATATACACACACACATATATACATACACACACACACACACACACACACGCACGCACAAGGCAGCTCACCATCTGCTGCGACGCTCCCAGTCGGTGCCGTGCCAACCAGCCTCTGGGTGACGGACATTTAGCAAGCAGAGAGGGCGTGAGTTGATGAAGCAGTGGTGGCGTTGAACCGAGCGAGCGAGCGAGGGAGGGAGCGGGGCTGGGATGTAAATATTTGTTGTTTGTGCTTGTGTCAGCACTGCTATTAGCATTCCCCGCCGTGTTAGTTGACCACCGAGTGGAGCGGAATCTGTTTTTTCATTCGGCTCCTTTTGTAGCACTGCATTCGTTCCCCCTTTGTTCAGGTGTTGCCCTCTAGCGCTGTTTTGTTTGTACAGTGGAAGCTCCAAGGTTGAGGTCCATTAAAGAATGCTTGGAATGTTCTCCATACGAAAGAACGTACATTAAATTCTTTTCATATGTCTAACCACAAAACTGGACGGAGAATGTTGAAAGGGAACTATTATGGAAAATTGGCAGTCAAGTCTTGCATACAAATAGTTGTGCGCCGGGAGTGCCGACCCACTCATCAAGTGTGAAATTAACCAAGGTTGTGAATCTTTTGTTTCCATGCCTATTTTTGAAAATCTGCCTGTGAGCAAGCCGTTGTGCACTTTCACCCCTTCGTGACATAACGTTCGGGATCATTTACATAACTGCGCCCACACCAAGTTTTTCCACCGCACGTGACTTGGCGACTCATCGAAGAAACATAACCATGTTCAAGTGATGGCTCAATCGCGACAGCAAATTCAAGAGGTAAGCAGAGCTGCATTGAGTTAAGTTGAATGCAAAAAGCTGGGGTGGGGTTGCCATGGTGCAATGATTGATCGACAACTTATCGATGAGCCAAATATATTGCTAATTACATTGGTCAACAGCATATTTCAATCCGCGATGGCTTGATGTGTCTCTAAAAATATAGCAAGTGATGCTACATGTACTGTAGCAGCTACGCAGAGAATATACTGGCTAAACTGAGCTCTAGCGAGGACTTGCCTGTATGTATGCGGTACATTCGCGAGGGTACAAGGGATCGGGCTATGCGAGCTGACCCCCTCAGACAGCATTAATAATGCATTCGTAATCAATTGAACGTGTATCCAGCCCTGAGGCGCTAGCGCGAATCCTTTCTCCCACTAATGGACTCCGGCACACGTGTATGTTAAAAGATCCACGCTCGCCCCCGCAGCACCGCGCAGCTCATTTAGGCCGCGGAATTTTAATTAATTTATTTAATTCCCTTTTATTGCCATGACCCGAGGACCAGGAGGAGAGAGGAATAAGAACAATGGAGATGGAATTTAGCCGAATGGGCCATTTTGTGATGTGACGAGAACCTTTTCAAATGGCTAATCAAAACTGATTTAGGAAGCCGCAGGTTCATCACACTTGGCTTCACTATATCTTGTGCATGCCTTTCCTTTTTGTCTTTTTGAACTTAATACTATAACCTATAATTTATCATTTGAAATTTCGATTTGAAATAATTCTTATTGGCAAAGTTACTAATATTTAGAGAAAATGGATGGATTGAAGCTTCAATCCATTAGCTGTCCAAAATCTTGTCATAGCAATAATTTGAGTAGCTAATTTCCAAATTTCTGTCAGAATAGAAGTTAACCAGCCTCATGCGATTACCTTAGAAACACTTGAACAATCTTCAAAATCTCACATTTAAAATAAAAAAAAGAGGAATCAAACAGGTATTAAACAAACTCAACATAAAACATTAATCATTTAACAAACACAGTGCAACAGTCTTACCTTGCGGTAAGCTAACTTGTGGCTAGCATGAGATGCTAACGTGAGAGTCTTTAAAGTGGAAGTCAAGTCAAAGATTTTATTTGCAATAATACTCTGTATATTCTCCGTACCCCGATTATGATATGAACCAAGCAGCAGTTTTTGTTTTTTTATTTAATCCATCTCAGGAGGCGGCCATTTTGCTACTTGCTGTCGACTGAAAATGACATCAAATAATAATAAACAGAAAGGCTTTATGAGTTGCCTGTCGACCAACTGCAAGCTAATAATCACCTGTGCCACTCGCCACCAACCGGCAGACAAGCGTAGAGCTTCCTGACAAAATGGCACGTTACCTGACAAAAGCGGAACATTCCATCTATTGTTCGTGACACCGAACCCATCCGAACGCACTCAACGTCGCCCCCCCCCCCCCCAAAGTCCATTAGGCTGGCCTAATGTGGCAAACACGGCGGCCCTGCCGCCGCGTATGTATTAGAGCCCACCCCTCCCTCGACACCTTCGGCTTTCATTTAGCACGCTGCTAACCTTGCTGCGACGCGCGTCGCCGTGCGTTATTTCACCGCGG